CCTTGTGATTGTAGTCCCAATATTCAATAAGTCATTGTTGCTTTAATTTGAGCTGACATTGGCCTTTGGGGAGTCTGGAAGGAAGCTAGAAAAGTAACCCTAATTAAAGGACTACAAATAGACATAACCCCAGGTGAGTTATGCCTTTCCCACCTGCTTGTCTGAGATCATAGATTATACACAAGTCCTGAGTTCTGTTTCTGATTGTCTCATTAGCTAGATACTTGAATTTGATAGCATAGTCTATAGGGTACTGGACATGGTCAAATCCCATCTCAGATGCTTACTAGCTATGCAACCACAGGCAAGTTTTACTCATTTTGCTTAACCTGTGCCTCAGTTTCTTTATTTGTAAAATGAGGGAGTTGGACTCAGGCACCTCTAAGGCACTTTTTAATTTTAAATCTACGATCCCATGAAAAAAATCACAATGCTGTTGCCAAAAATGCGGATGAGAAATTCATTGATGGATTCATGGTAGACTAAGAAATTTATCCATCCATTCATAAATAACTTAATAATCTATCAATCTTTTCTCTCTCTCATTCTCCATATTCTCATACAACTAACAAGTCCTCTCAAGTCTACCTTTGGAATTTCTCTCCCATCCATCTTCTCTTTTTCATCCCCTTTTTGCAACCACTGGGTTCACTGGCACCTCTCTCCAAAACCAGTATGATGGTCTCATCAGGCACTGCCTTCAGTTTCTCCCAATTCCAAGTCATCCCTCCTATTGCCCTCAGAGGAAGCACTGCTTCCAAAGCACAGCTCTGATCACGGGATACACTTGCACCAAAAGTGACGAGTACTCTTAATCTACCAAGTAAAGGCCAGACTCCTTGATGTAGTTTTTAAAGCCCTCTTATAAACTATTCACAGGCCTCTTATCCTCTCAATCAATAAATATTTATTAAGCAGCTACTGTATGCCTAGCACTGAGCTCAGCATTGGGGAGACAACAAGCAAAAAATACATGCTGACAAGCTATCGTTTGACCTTCATTTTCAAAGAGGACCAATGACATTACAGGGTGACTTGAACATGAATTAGATTAAGTAAGGCAGAGGTGTACAAAGTCATTAGCCTCACTCTTTCTTCCAGAGTCATCGAAGTCCAGTGGCAAGACAAAAATCAGGATAACAGGCCCAAGATACAGTGGATGACCCTGGTATCTTCCATGTCTGACTAAGCTCTAAGTCGCCTTCATGGCCATTGAAACAAATTGTTCTCATCTTCTCATCCCACCTGGGTAAGTCTTCACATGCTTGGGGTAGACATCACTCTAACTCACCAACTTTTTTGAGGCCTGTTGGTTACCTTCAATCTGGTTTAGTCTCTCTGCCAAGACAGTTCTACCACCAGGGTGTGGCTTCTGCTTGTGCTACAGCTTCTTGGAGCTACAGGTGAGAGTTGGACGAGAGGCGGACACCAAAGGTGGATGAGCAGCCCTGAAAAGGGCCTAGCAAGCCCTCACACCGAAGGTACTAGTCCTCCCTAAACACCCCATACACACCACAAACAAGTTACATACAGGATAAATACAAGAGATAATTAACAGGTAGGGAAGGTATGGAATTAACAGGAGTTAGAGAAGGCTTCCTGCAAAAAGTGGGATTTTAATTGGGACTTAAACAAAAGGTAGAAATAAGAAGGGAGAGCATTCCAGGAACCAGTGGCTGCCAGAGAAAACGTCTGGAACCAAGACATGGAGTGTCTTCTTAGAGGACAGCAAAGAAGCCAGTGTCACTAGATTGATGAGTATTCTTTAGAGAGTAAAGCATAAGAAGATTGGAAAGATAGAAAAGAGCTAGGTTATGAAGGGCTTTGAAGCCCAAACAGAAGAGTTTGTATTTGATTCTGGATGTGATATGGAGCCAAAATTAAAAAATAAAATAAAATGAAGTCAGAATTGATAAGGAAAAAAAAATTATCTAAGCAGAGGTGGGATCTGCACTTTAGGGAAAATCACTTTTATGGCTGAATGGAGGCTGGATTGGCTTAAGGCAGGCTGATCCACCAGCAGAATATTGCAGTAGCCCAAGCATGAGTTGATGAAGACCTTCACCAGAATGGTGGCTGCATTAGAGTAGAGAAGGGGGCATATTCAAGAGATGTTGCAAAGATAAAACTTTGGTAAGGTCATGATAATAGACTGGATATGGGAGGTGAGAGTTAATAAAGAATCTAAGATGACATCTAGATTGTGAGCCTGAGGGACTGGGAAGATAGTGTTACCCTTGAAATAAATAGGGAAGTTAGGGGAGGGGAAGGGTTCACAGGGGTGGGGAACCCGTGGCCTCAAGGCCACATGTGGCCCTCTAGGTCCTCAAGTGCCACCCTTTGACTGAATCCAAACTTCACAGGACAAATCCCCTTAATAAAAGGATTTGTTCAGTAACATTTGGACTCAGACAAAAGGCTGCCCCTAAGAACCTGGAAGGCCACGGGTGGCCTCACAGTCACAGGTTCCCCACACTTGTTAAAGGAAGAGATAGAGAGTTCAGTTTTGGACATACTGGTTTAACATGTCTACTGGATTGTCTGAAAGGTAGTTGAAAATGAATAACTGGAAGTCAACAGAAAGGCTAGGACAGGTTATTTGAGAATCATCAGCATAGAGATGACGATTAAATCCATGGGAGCTGATGAGATCACCAAGAGAATTAATGTAGAAAGAGAAAAAGAGATGGCCTGGGACAGAAACCTGAGGGACACCTGTGGTTAGAGGACATGACCTGTATGAACATCTAGCAAAGGAGACTGAGAAGAAGCCATCTGATGAGTAAGAGTAGAGCCAGGAGAGAGTGATGCCCTGTATCAAGGAGACAGTGTCAAACCAACAGTGTCAAAGTGCAGAGAGGTCAAGGAGAAATGAGGATTGAGAAAAGGCCATTGGATTTGCACTAGTGGTCTAAGAGACCATTAGCAACTTTGAAAAGAGCAGTTTTTGTGGAAGGATAATGGTCAGAAGAGATTGTAAGTGATTAAGAAGAGACTGAGAGGAGAGAAAGTGGAGACACCTATTGTAGATGGTCTTTTCAAGCAGTTTTGCTACAAAGGGCAGAGAAGATATAGAATGGTAGCAGAGATGTGGGAAGCATCAAGTGAGGGATTTTTCATGTTGGGGGAGACATGCACATGTTTATAGGCAGTAGGGAAGGAGTCAGTAGACAGGGAGAGATTAAAGTTAAGTGATAGAGCGAGGGCAATCTGTTGAAGGAGATGACAGGGAATGGGATCCCTTGTGTAGGTCTTTGGGAAGGAGTAAGGCTACCTCTTTGTGTGAGAGAAGGGTGAAGAAGGAGAAAGTGCAGAAGCCATCTGGGGGACATGAGATGAGGAAGAAGGGAGAAGAGGGAGCTTACAGCAATTGGCCTCAATTTTTTCAAAAAAAAGACGAGGCAAAGTTCTCAGCAGAGAAAGTGGGAGGTTTGAGGAAAGGATGAAAAGGTTTGGAAGAGCCCTTGTGGAGAGTAGGATAGTGAGTTGTTAAAGGAGATATAGTAGGATTTCCTTGCAGCAGTGAAGTCCTGGCTGATGTTATATAAATTTGCACTGGACTCAGTCAGAATGGATGTATGATTTTCTCCAATCTACATTCATCTGCATGAAAGTAGGAGTGAACGCAATGGATGGTGAGGGTGATCCAAGGCTGAGGCTTGGCAAACCCAGGGAATCAAGAGAAGAGAACACAGAGTTCCTCAAGATGAAGAAAAGAGGAGAGAGTGGCTAATGCAGGGGCCACACTGTGGGAGAGAAGTGATGGGATAAAGGATTAGAGATCACGGTATGGATAGAAAGTAGAGTTTGGTAAGAAGGGAGAGGATGAGCTGGAAAGCCAACAGATTATGGTGTGATAAGAAGATTTTGGAATCCTTGAACCTGGAAGTGATGCACTTGTGGATGATGACAAGATTAAGGGCATGACCAGCTTTGAGTGTGGCTAAGGTGGAGTGGAGGAGTAGATCATGGGAAGTGAGTAGGTTGAGGAAGTGAGTGTTTAGTGTTTTGGAAGGAAAGTCAATATGTATATTAAAGTTTCCTAGTATGAAGGCAAGAGTCGGGGAAGAGAGAAAAAAATGTGAGTCAGGTATTAAACTCATTTAGAAAGGAAGGAGAGGGACCTGGAGGTCTGTAGACAACCGCTACCAGGATTTTTGGTTGAGTGGTAGATATGAATAACATGAACCTCAAAGGAGGAAAGGTTAACTGAGTGATAGAGGTAGGGGGAGAACCTAGAAGTGGCAATGGGGAGCAAAGCGTATTCCAACTCCCCATCTCGACCAGTTAGCCAAGAGGAATGAGAGAAGGTTCAGCCAAAGGATGGCCAGGATGGCTAGGGAAGATGTGTCATGGTGGGGAGGGTTTCAGTAATTGCTCATAGATGAAAGGAGTGGGAGAGGAAAAGATTTAGGATGAAGAGAAGTCTGTTACCTATGGAACAGACATTCCCAGAGGGCATAGTGGATGAAGTAGAAGGCATTTGATTGAGACTTTGGGATGGGAAGACTGAGAGGGTTGAGAATAAGGAATTAGATGGGGGAGGGGGGAGGGGATTTGGATGATGACCTGCAGGGGTTCAGAATCCCTGGGATATGTAGGTTATGGCCAGCGGTAACAGTGGTCATCATTGATTGGAAGGTACAACTCCTCTTCCCAGAGGAGGCTGGAGATCGGACAGGAGATGATGCAGGAGGAGATTGAAGCCCTACTCCCCACTGACTTTTCTCTTCCTCTTCCCTTACAGGACAGGGGGAGCAAGAGATGGAAAGCCTGAGGTCAAAGAGAAGCTTGGTCCTTTTCTTACCAGAGGGCAGTAGGAGTTAGAAGTTGCTCGGTGCTGGTGCATATAGAAGCTGCAGCAGACCCCTAAAAGATTTCCCTCAGGGTACACACGCAGTTGAAGATTCGTGTGGCATTAGGGTCAGGGAGACCCTCCCCTTGTTACCTGTGGCTGGAGATCAGGCCAGTGCAGCAGGAGGTGCTATTACCCGTATTCACATTGCCTATGCTACGGTCAAGCTAAAACAGTCGATATTGCCCCTTTGATGTTTCTACTTCTGTATCTTTGCCTCCACTGTCCCCTCTGTCCACATTATTCTCCCTGCCCATGCCAGCACACCAGATTCTTCACAGATGGCCACAGGAAAACAACCTGTGGCGTTGGAACAAGCTCTGAGCGGGAGAAAACAAACCGCTCCTGTACAGAGATGCTTGCATAGATACAGGCAGGCCTACGTCTCGCTGACTACACACTAATTATCCGGCAGTTTTATGACCTCTCCTCATCCCTATCACTCTTCATTGGAGGAAGAAAGAGCATGGCAGATCCACAGAGAGTGGTTTAATTACATCAAAAGAAGCCACAAACAAACCCAGGGCCAAGACCAAAGACAGCTGATAAAGGTACATTTGGAGAAATGTGAAAATGACAGACAACGGGCTTTTTGGAAGGTAAGGGCACGGGCAGGAAGCACAGAACCAGTCTGGCCCTAGCTCTGTCAGGGGTCAGCTTGGGAAACCAGGTCACTGCCATCATGTGAGGCTCGTTCTGTGTGGATCCCTCCTGGAATGCCAGAATGGTAAGATTCAGGCTCTCTGCTGGTGCATAGGGGCTAGGTTGATAAAATACCACCGCTGCTTTGCTTCACAATACTTCTATATATGAGCTCCATTCATCTTTTGGTACTGGTCCAGGTACAACCGTTTCCCTACAAAGTCCAACACATAATTGTTGTCAATGGATCATGGCTGTCACAGCTGAAAGAACAAGAGAGAATGAGGGCATAAGTATGCAGCAGGTGAAAACATTTATTACTGAGGGCCACAGCCTGAATTTACATCAGCTACTACCCTACCAGAAACACTTAGCCTACGTCTATACTTGCCAGTTAGGGCACCTCGGTGGCGCAGTGGAAAGAGCACCAGACCCGGAGTCAGCAAGACTTATCGTCTTCAGTTTGAATATGGCCTCAGACATTTACTAGCTGTGTGATCCCGGGCAACTTGCTTCACCCCATTTGCCTCAGTTTCCTCATCTGTAAAATGAGCTGGAGAAGGAAATGGCAAACCTTTCCAACATCTTTGATCTAAATGGAATCATGAAGAGTCAGACACGACTGAAAATGCTTACCAGTGTCAGTGATTCCTGGGTTGCTAGCCATCTGACAGATCTTGGTGAGCTTGCATGGTAGGACAGTGATGCTGAGGGACTCTACAGCTACAATACTCTTATAAAACCTCATTATTCTGCCCCCATGAAACTCCTTCATCATCCAGTGACCCTCTGTGTGAATTTGTGTGTCTCTTTCTAAGTCGTATCTTTATGGATATGGCACAAGGGAAATTTATCCTCTCTGTGTTCCTGAGGTGCTGGGAAGCCCTCAGGGTTCTGTTTGTTGAAGGTGAGAAGGAAGTATTGAATTGCTCAAATTGCTACTAATGATGCCTGCTCATGAGAAATGATCAATAAAATATACATAAAAAATAAAAATATTTTAATAACAAAAAAAAAGAAATGATCACTAACTAGGCTGATAGCACAGCTCTGAGGCTCCCCCATCTCTACTACCATAGGAAAATACCTGAAGAAGAAGACAACACCCCCTTCAATATATCTCTACTTTTCAAAGTTCTAAGCATTGAAATCTTACCCATTGTTCAAGGTCCAACTCAAATACTCTCTCCTACAAGAAGCCAGCAATGACCTCTCCATCCTTGAATTCTGAATGAAAAGTAACAATAGGACAAAAGGAGGCAAGAAATTTTCACAGTAAAAAGCAGTTTAACATTAAACTGGTTAGCTATAGCACTGGTCCCCATACTTTTTGATTGTATTGCTAGCAATAAAAATGTTTGACTTGCAATATATGTGTGTGCATACATGTATGTATGTGTATACATACATATACACAATTTATAAGTTACATACGCAAACTGCTGTATTCAACATTATGTACGTTATAAAATATATGTGATAGAAAATATACATATAGAACATAGAAATGAAAATGTATATGAAGTAGACATATTAAAAGGATATAATATTTTTAAATAAAAATTTTATTTTCTCTTAAAAATACAATGTTTTTTACCTGAGTCAGGGTACTTAGAAAATGTGTGCTGTTATTATAGTGAATGCAAGGGAAGGTAAGTCAGGAGCACTCAGCTAGGTACCACACTTGGAAGATCCCTAAACTATAGGATCAAATTTAAGAAGGGAAGAAAAAAGCCAGAGGAAGAGTCGTGGCCAGGGAGAATGAAATATAAACTTAGGAGGAATGGTGAGATGGAATTAAAGGGCTATGGTCAGAGGGAAGAATTTCAGAGGTCTAGATCAAGAAGTAGAACCCTTGTGGGTGATGGTGAAATCAAGAGTATTGTTGTCTGCGTATCTGAAGTACGGTGAAAGTGAAGGAAGTTGATGAGCTGGGAAGCCAAGGTGTTTGAAAGAACATATATTGACGTTCCCTAGTATATATTTAGGATGTAGAGGAAGAATGTGGTCCAGGTTCTGAACTCCTTGAGAAAGGGGGAGGAATAGTCCTAGGGGCCTGCCTTGATGTTCATGAGTGATCTCGGCAGAACATATGTGTTCTAAGTAAGCAGTAGTGGAAAGTGAGGAGGATGCCTATTCTTTTTCCTGGTCCAGGTGTCTGGGAGTATGAGAGAAGATGTATGTGGTTCTGGAGGGACTAGACAGGGTTGCAGTGTTTTGTTAGGGAGTAGGAGATGAGTCAGGTTTTCATTCAAAACAGTTTTCCCTTCCACATCGCAGGGCTCAGGGGTACCATGCCACTCCCCCTGCCCCACTCCACAATCTGGAAAATCTGCATAAAATTTTTTGGCCCTCCCTTTGTGCCTGAGAAGAGGTCTGAATTATGGTATTAAAAGATAAAATGTGTTGATTTTACACATATACATATATTTTATACATTTCTGAGTTTCTAAACTTTTTCTGTGTCATCTGCTGCATGCCATCTGCAGCTTCTGCAAAACTCCTCAAAAATTCCCATTTAATTTCTTATGTTAATCCACAATGTATTGAAAGCATGATGTAGAAGGGATAACTTCCAGAATTTGGAAGGGCCATGAGAGAAAGAGGTCTTACTTGCAGGAAAGTTTGCTAACAATATATTTGGGATTAGAAGAGGCACAATAGAAGGAGTAGGAGCTGGGGGAAGATTAGAAGGAGACAGGCCTGAGATAGATTGGGTTAAGAGACTGGTGAGTGAGAGCAGAAAAGGGGGTTGATTTTCACTTAGACTAGAGTTTCTGCCCCACTAGGATTGGGAGAGTAAAAGGCAGGCATTTGCTGGCCCTAGGATGAGAATGAGGTACCTTTTGACTGGGCCTCCCATCCACAAGGGTCTTGTAATTGGCAGAGAGTGGCATTAGTTTTGTTGGGGTTTTTTTTTCAAGCATTAGGGAAGATGAGAGACTGCGCTAGGTGTCAGTGACCCTTCCTGAATATAAAGGCTAGACAATGAGAGTTCCATTATCTGAGTATTTGGTTCTAGGCTGGGTCTTTGAGCAGAGAGCCTGATGGTGGAAGCAAATTTATACTCGATGTCAGTTAAACTTCCTGTTATATCAAATGGGATAATAACTGTAAAGCACTTAGCAAAGTGCATGGTACATAACAAGCTCTATATAAATGTTATTTATTATTACTATTATGGACAAAAAACAGACTAGGCTGTTTTGATAAGGGGTGGGTTCAGAGGTGAAATGATCATTAGTCGAGTATGTTAGTGGTGGAGATTCTTTGGGGATATCAGTTGAACTAGATAGACACTAAGTTTCTTTCCAACTCCAAATTCTATGCCTCTGAAGTTCTAGTACTAAAGGTGAGGTTCCAGTCCTGAAGAAGCCTAGAGCCTGGGGCTCCATTTCTAGAGATGAGGAGAATGAACTAGATTCTGTAAGTGAAAGTCAAGGTATATGAGGCTCTGGTCCCAGGCTAGTAATAGTTTAAAAAAAAAACACCCTGCTGCTAGCATTTACATATCACTTTAAGGTTTGGAAAGCACTTTACAAATATTATATCACTTTATCCTTGCAATAACCCTGGGAGATAGGTTGTATTATTATCCCCATTTTACAGATGGGGAAACTAATGCTGAAGGAAGTTGAACGATTTGCCTGGATCACACAGCTAGTAAGTGTCTGAGGCTGGATTTGAACTCAGGTCTTCTTGACTCCAAATCCAGCATTCTATCTACTGTGCCACCTACCTGCCTCCAAAAAGATGCTGTAACACTGATGTAGCAAGTCAGAGCAGAGTAGCAGTAGACCTCAGAATAGTGGATTAGAGGAGAGGGGCTAAGAAAACCATTCACAGTACTGGAAGTTACGGGCCCCCATCTCTACTGATGATGGCTGATTTGAGCTCATAATAGACTGCAAGTTTCCACCTTCCCTTGAGGTTTCTACTCTACCACGGGCCCCTATAGCTTGAAGAGCAAGAAGGTGTTTAATACCTCTTTGTAAAAAGAATGAATTTTTTTTTTAAGTCAGAAGACCCAAGTTTGAATCCTGATGCAAGAAATTTACCATCTCTGGGGCCTTGGGCAAGTTATTTAACTTGTCTGAACATCATTTTCTTCATTTGTAAAATGGGAGTTATAATACTTGTATTGTGTATCTTACATTCTCACGTTAGGAGAAAAGTGCTTTATCAGCAAACATGAATCAAATACCTGTTAGCTTCTTCAAGGCAAGGACTTTCAGTACCTGGCACAGTGCCCAGCACACAGTCAGTGCTTAATAAATGTGTGTTGCTTGATACTAGATAGTAGGCACTGAGGGTAGGAAGATAAAAATGAAACTGTCTTTGTCCTCAAGAAGTTTACTTTCTACTGAAAGGACATAACATGCACATAGATGAGTAAAAACAAAGTACTTTTAGGACTTAACAACTTTTTTTTTCTTTTTGGTGAGGCACTTGGGGTTAAGTGACTTGCCCAGGGTCACACACCTAGTAAGTGGGACTCAACAGCTTTTAAGATTAACAACTATTGGACTCAGGAAAGGCTTTCTACAGGAGATTGTGCCTGAGGTGAGCCTTGAAGAAAGCTAAGGATTCCAAGAAGAGGAGATGAGGAGGGAGGAAATTACAGACATAGGGGACAGCCTAGAGATAGAAGCTGCTATGTGAAGTCTGGAGAACCCAGATGTGTGATGGTAAATGTTTATTTTAATTTTTTAAACATTTTTATTTAAAGTTTTGAGTTCCAAATTCTAACCCTCCTTCCCTCCTTTTCCTCCCCCTTCCCTAAGATGGTAAACTATCAGATATCAGTTATACATGTGCAATTATGTAAAACATTTCCATATTAGTCATTTTGTGCAAGAAGACTCAAATTTTTAAAAATGGAATATAGACTATTTTTCGCTTTCTGTAGAGGTGGATAGTATGCTTCATCATTAGTCCTTTGGGATTGTCTTGGATCATTGTATTGCTGAGGACAGCTGTCATTCACAATTCTTCATTGAACAATATTGCAGTTACTGTGTACAACATTCTCCCGGTTCTGTTCACTTCACTCTGCATCAGTTCATGTAAGTCTTACCAGGTTTTTCTGAAATCAACCTGCTTATCATTTGTTATAGCACAATAATATTCCATTACTATCATATACCACAGCATATTTATCCATTTCCCCAGCTGATGGTCATCTCTTTGATTTCCAAGTCTTAGCCACCACAAAAAGAGATGCTATAAATATTTTTATCCTTTTCCCTTTTATCGGATTTCTTTGGGATATACACCTAGCAGCTAGATCAGAGGGTATGAACAACCCTTTGGGCATAGTTCCAAATTGCTCTCCAGAATGGTTGGATCAGTTCACAACTCCACCAACAATGCACTAGTGTCCCAGTTTTCCCACATCCCCTCCAACATTCAATATTTTACTTTTTTGTCATATCAGGATGGCAAATGTTTAACTGGCTCTGGATGGTGGTGGGATAGAGGAAGGGGAATTAATGTACACAGGGCACAATTTAAATTTAATATTCATTATCAACATTTCCTCCATCCTTTTCTTAAGTTTAGACAATCAAAGCCCAGAACTGTAGCCTTTGCCAATATCCAGGGTGTAAATGCTCACATTGAAAATTTAACAATAATTCAAGCTGGCCCCAGCACATGCCTAGTCCAGGAAACCTCAAGTAAACTGTAAGGCATTGTGTAAATTCTCATTACAAGTGAAACTAAATTAAAATGAACGTTATGTGCAGCCCTGAAGGGGAAAAGAATTCACATTCTCCAGCCTGGGGAGTGGGGAAGTAGGGAATTGTCATTCCTCCCTACTTTGCCTTAGCAACAGTGAGCTGGGGGAAAAAGAAAAAAAATAAAGGAAGGAAAGGATGGGTGGATTATGCACAAATAAATGCAGGTATTAGTTTGGTGCTAAGATCTTACTAATTGGGGAAACTCCCTCTGAATTTTACTGTCATAGAGAATTGTTTGGGGATGCTGAGAAGTGACTTGCTCAGAGTCATACGGCTAGTATATAGCACTCAGATCTTGAAATTGGGTCTTCTTGACTCTGCGTCAACTATACCATGCTGCCTCTGACAAATATAAATGACAGACAGAATAACAGACAAATGATTAGAGAGATGACTAGACAGATGGACAAATAATAGATTGATACAGACTGATAGACAGACAGACAGACAGACAGATAGACAGACAAATGGATGGACAGACAGACTTTCTTCCAGACTGCTTCTCTGAATTGCTGCTCATTGGTCAGCTACTAGAAGAGCTCTGTGCCTAACGGATAGCTTGGTTACTAATTTTTCAGCGTGAACTAAACTGGTTACCTGTGTGAGGGATTCTGCTTTTCTGGATTCATTCTTCCCTTCTTGTAAATGTCATGCAAATCAGCCAAGACATTCAAGCCTGCAAGAGAACAAGCGAGAAAGAAGGAAGAATGTTCATGAACGTGGTCCATATAGCTCCCAGTACTGATACCACCATCTTCAGCCTATAGAACCAAGTTAGAGCTGGAAGGAATCTCAAAGTTTCTCTAGGTCAACTCCCTCATTTTACAGAGAAATAAACTGACATTTTAAGAGATGCCAGCAAAAGTATGGTGCAGGGTTAGTTTTCAAATCCAAGCCTTCCACCTCCAAATTTAGCCCTGGTCCTGCTGCACCAATGCTGCTCATTAGAAGATAACCATAATCAATAAACTAGTATGCCAAGGTAGGGATGGCTGGAAGTCTTTATCTACGGACAGGATGACTTTGCCTGTCTTTCCATGCATTTTCTTCCCAATATCCATATTTAAGCATACTAACAGGTATGTGCCTACCAGAAATACTAAACAAAGCCCACTGATTTCTGGCAGATATATATATACGCTAAAGACAGGAATTTAGAACAAAGGAACTAACCCTAGGCAGATAGCCATCCAACTTAACCTAGCTTTTCTGTTTTTACCCCCAGCCTACATGCAAGCCAACCAAAGGTATTATGGGGGCTGAAAGGAACTGTAGTTCCTCTGGGGTTTTATTGGAGGGGGTCCCCAGAATTGTTTGAAAGGATGCAGACTGACTGACAATTGGAGATCTGATGGGAATCAAAAGGAATCTTCTAACTCCAAGTCAGATAGTTGGCAGAGGCCACGGACTTAGGGGGGCAATAGAAGAAAAGTGAGTTAAAAGAACAGATTTCATTCTAGCCTGAGAGTTGTGACTATCTTTTGTTGCCTACCAGGCTGGGTGCAGCCGTCACAGCCCTTGTACCATATCCTGGGTCGATACAAAGTTAAAAAAAAAAAGTTTCATAGGAAAGACTTACCAGCAGCTATACCCCAGCAGATGGAGGAAGAGAAGAACAGATGGCACAGAGAGACTGAAAACCAGTGGATGATAGCAGAGAATAGTTCAGCAAACAATGCAACTAAAAACCCAAGGGAGTGCCCAACATAGATGACGCTACAGAGAGTGGGGATACGGTGCCTAACCACGTTCGTGGCATTCACATGGCGTGACCAAAGGACATCAGGACATTCTTAGTATCTGAATTATGAGTTGCCTTAGCCTCATGTTTCCCTCCATGTATCCTGTCCCTACTTATGTTTTAGCCATGTTCCTCACTTGTATGCCTCTCCATTTGTGTTCCCTAGACATTTGCATTCACAACATATGTGTACTCTGCCACTGGTGACTAGGTCACCTGTGGGAGCGTGTACACCTGAAGGTATCGAGGGACCTTTTTTTGGTCACTTAATTTGCTATGCTGTTTGATTTAAATGAATGTCTTTGGCTTTAAATAACTGTTCTTTTTGGTGGATATAATCAAAGTAAATACATCAGTAAACATGCATGAATATGATTTTGAGTGGATGAACTAAAAACCCTATGTACCTTTCTAAGTACCCAAATTGAAGGGGGTAGGGTTCTGAGTACCCTTTGTCCATCAAGAGTGAAAAGCCTAGTCAATCAAACGTTGTTCATTGGGTCTGCTGAAAATTCAGTCAATAGGCAACCAATTAAATGATGTTATAGCAGGGTTATCTATATTTCATTCCTCTCTGGACCACACTCTGGACTTCTACCATGCCCCAGAAACTTCTTCATTCTGGGTACTTGATCCAGCCCTGGAATTTACACATTGGAAGAATGGCGCTGCTATGGCCTCTCCCTTTGACTGGTTGGCTCTTCATACACCCTCCATTTTGGACGGTGCCCAGGCCAGCCACATCTGATTGCTCTCTAGGCTACAGGCTTGGCCTTTCTCAACCAGGTTCCTCGCTCCCCCCCCCCCCCGCCCCCAAGCCATTCATCTTCCTTTTATTTGTTATCTTCCTCCATTAGAATATAAGCTTCTTGAGGGCAGGGACTATTTTGTAATCTCTTATTCCCTAGATTTAGCTTGGAGTCTGGTCCCTAGTAAGCACTTAATAAATGCTTGTTGACTGACTGACCAGGTTTCCTGACTTTACAGAGAGTTTGGAAATAAGGTATCAACAATACTATTGCAAAACGACACTGTACAGGTCAGTCTCATGCATGCCCGCCTGTTGTCACAGTAGGGCAGTTCACTGGGGAAGGAGTGGATTGAGCATGGCTGATCACCACCTCGGAGAACTGGAATGAACTGCTGGGGGTTAGGTAGGTAAGGGGTGGAGGTGGGGAGAGTTCAGGTGTAAAATGCACATTTGGGCTGCTTTCAGAAGGAAGAATGAAGTTGCCTTGCTAGTATCTCACATTTTTGACAGGCAGCCACACACCAGCACGCAAAATTCCTCCAGGCAGGTCCCTTCTCTTTCCTACAAGGGAATAATCAGGCTTTAAAATATACAGCACAAGCAGGGAACGCACACTTTTATTGCTGTGACTAAATATGATTTTGGCAGAGCACGCCTGGTTGTTCTTTGAAGGAAGAAGATTTTAAATCAATGTGCTGCTCCCACACCAAGGGAAAAACAGGCTTGCAGCAAATCTGAGGCTGGCCTGAAAGTGTCTCCTCTCTCTACTAGCAAGGGGCCCTTAGATAGACCGGAAAATGGAAGTAAGGTGGGGATAACTCCCACAGTCCAAAAGAAAGAGGCAACGAAATCTTCCGACCCTTTTGTTGTGATTGTCCTCACTTCGAGAAATTTTGTTTCTGGCTTACTATGTCATCCTTTTAATCATACTGTCCTAAGAATGAAGAAAAGTCACTTCCAACCCATCATAGTTCCTTGGGTCCTCCGGTGCCCCCCATGCAAATCAGAGGCTGTAGGAAATTTCAAAATACTAGCAATCTGCTTGGGGATTTTAAAGGTTACAAAAGTCCAATTACAATTCATTTTTGGTGTGAATTGAGTAACTCCGGGGGAGGTGGCCCGGGTGGAACGTTCAGGGTCGATACTGTGTTAATGAAAACAGCCCTTTGTTCCCCCAGAGCTGAGATGCTGACAAGTGGGCTGTTTCCTGAAAAGCTATGACATTCTTTGTCCCCGTCCAGGTGCAGGAAGCAGGATAGAGACTGCGACTGCCTTTTTTTTTTTTAAATCATTTTAGGGTGGGTTGTTTTTTATTTTTCCATTTTTAAAAAATCAAAGGAAATGCAGCCCAGGAAAACATCTGAGCCTTTTCTTGTGGCTCTGATAGCAAGACCCCTGCTCTAACATGATTTGATCGACTCTGTGTCTGGGAAATAGCTATTATCTATCTTTTGGTCCAGGTGCCACTTTGTTCTCTCTAGGTGGGTGGATGGGCGGGTGGATTCAGGCTCAGGGTTCTGAAGGGAAATGGGGAGAATGGGAAGGCTGAAGAAGAAATTAAGGATGGGCGGGCAGAAATAGTGAACATTTTTGAGAGATCTGGAGCGCAGGGACTTTCCACACAGGTGGTATGCTTCTAACATCGCAAACTTCCTCTTTATCAACATTAGTGGTCAGTTTCATTCCAGCCAAAAAGCAAAAGCAAAAGCAAAAGCATAAAATAAAGTTTTCAGATATCATTCAGTCGAGTTTTGTGAGCCCAGAATTCTCCCCCTCCCCCACCCCACTCCCCAATAATAGGCTCCTTTCCCAACACATAAGAACTAGGCCTTCCACAGAATCAGAGACCATTCATTATCTCTTAAACAGCTATTGCTGTGTCTAAAGGGCTGCAATCTACTCCCAGGAGTTGTTACTTCCCTTTCAGTCCAGCAAAGGCTGACTTCAGCCAAAGGCCAAATAGGCTAACTGCTTATGTGTGGCTAGATCACAAGAAATTGCCCCCTCCTCTTCTTGCTTCCCCCCTCTCTACCCTCCCCCCACCTCAGGCCCACCCCATCATACACACAAAAGTCAAGCGGTAGAGAGGATGTAGCAGCAATGGATGGAAATTTCGAAGAGGCAAATATTTAGGTATGACGTTAGCAAAAAGCTGCTTTAACAGAGATATCCACAAATGAAATGAGCTTCCTTGGTAGGTAGTTATATTCCCTTAACCGGAAATCTTCAAGCAACTGCTGTGTGACCACTTGTCTTGGATACATACTATAATGGGGATGCTTCTTTTTAACTTGTCCAAGGTCATACAGGTAGGACCAGTTAGGATTTGAACCCAGGTTGTCTGGCTCCACAGTCAGGACCCTTGCCATTGTATCAGCTTAGAGCTGCCTTCCTTGGGGATTAGTGCCTTTTATTTTGGCTTATTTGGGGAGGAAGCCCTTCTTTGTTGTCCTTCAGTTTTATGGTTGTGTCTGACTCTTTGTGGGCCTATTTGGGGTTTTCTTGGCAAAGATACTAGAGTGGTTTGCCATTTCCTTCTCCAGCTCATTTTACAGATGAGGAAACTGAGGCAAAGAGGGTTAAGTGACTTGCCCAGGGTCACACAGCTAGCAAGTGTCAAGTGTTTGGTCTGAGGCCAGATCTGAACTCAGGTCCTCCTGACTTCATGACGGGTGCTCTATCCACTGCACCACCTAGCTGCTCGCTGCTTCACCACCTTTTGAAGTAGAACAAAGTATGCCCTCAGCATCCTTGACTCCCTTGTGTGACCTTAAGCAAGTTACTTAACCTCACCCTACCCCCCAAGGCTTCCATTTTCTCATCTAGAAAATGAGGGGTTTGTACAATAATATAAATGAAAATAACACTTAAAGGCAGCTGAGCTCATATTAAATGCAGTGAGTAAGTAACTTCGACCCTGGAAAACAGATGATAAAACATAGTTTACTTTTCTTGAAAGAAAAACGAGAGCCTACAGATGCAGAATGTTACATATGCTGTCAGACGGAGTCACTGTGCCCCCTCGACTTTACTGAACTGTTTTTCTTTGTTAGGAGGAAGAGAGAGAGGCAAAGGGAGAAAACATCAGGAAATGACCAGTATAAAAAAAGAGGCATTAATACAACTTTTAAAAATCAAATCAAATGAGGGGGTGATCGATAAGATGGCCTATAAGATCACATCCAGCTCTGAAGTCCTACGATTCTATGCATCTTCCTCTTTTGCAATGCCCTCTCCTCACTCATGGAGCTCTCTATACCTCCATTTATTTACCCAATGCCCTCATATGGATCCATGACTATGCAGGGCCCACCACTCTTGGGTCTGCTCTCATCTCTTGGGGCCCAGACCTTACTTACCCTATTTTCTTTCGCCCTACTAAAACACACCTATGCTGATTCCATAAGCATCCTGTGCTATGCCTTCCAAAGTTAATTTCAATAAATTAATCCTGTGGTGAGGTATTAATGGCTATAATGGAGAGAATACTGAACTTGGAAAAGATGATTTGTGTTCAGTTCCTAGCATTGATACTTGTATGTAACTATAGGCAGGAGCAGCTAGGTAGCACAGTGGATAGAGTGTCAGGCCAAGAGTCAGGAAGACTCATCTTCTGAGTTCAAATCCATCTCAGACACTTACTAGCTGTGCGACCCTGGGCAAGACACTTAACCTCGTCTGCCTCACTTTCCTCAACTGGAAAATGAGCTGGAGAAGAAAATGGCAAACCGCTCCAGTGTCTTTGCCAAGAAAACCCCAAATGAGGTCCCGGGAGAGTTGGACATAACAACAACAATGACCTTCGGCAAGTTATTTAATCTCTCTGGGGCTGCTTCCTCATCTGTGAAATGTTACCGCAGTGGAACAAGTCAGGGAATCTGGAGTTGACCTTAGTAGAGCTCTACTATTTAGCACATATAGGATTTGGGGCAAAAAAAAAAAGGTCACAACTTCTCTGGGCCTCAGTTTCCTCTTCTGTATAATGGGGATGGACTGGCTGGCCTCTGAGATCCCTTCTATGATCCTAGGATTTCTAAGGTCTCTTCTAACTTTTGTGATTCTGTCTTAACCCAAAGGAATGAACTTCTCATGGTGGAAGACTGTCAGGCACTGGGATAAACATATTGGTAATGCCCTTAAAACTCCAATA